TTTAACTGTCACAGAACTTTACTAATTATCCTAGATCATAGTCAATTCCTTTATGATTATATTACCAGAGTAATGTTCTATTATATATGAGGTTGTAAAATAATTAATATATGAAATAAATTACTTCAGAAGATTCGTACTGAAGTCTTTCACTTCGAATAAATATGTAAAATATTCATAATTTTCATTTTCCATAGTGTTTTCAGTTTGTATTAATATTGGGGATTTAATACCATGATGTGTTTGTTTTTTTAATTTTCTCGTTGAATACTGATCATTTCCATTGAAGCAATTTTTTATTTCTGAACATTTTTAAAGTCGTTGTTCTGACTAGTGGTACTTCACATAAAACTGTTTCATATTTTTCATTGAAGATTTATCATGGAACTTTTAATATTTTTGTTCACGTTTATCTACTATTATTCTGATGATAGAAGAAAGTTTGAGATGAGATTACTATCATTCACTGAACTAAAAGTGTTTCTTTGTGTTTTTTTTTGGTTTGACTCTTTATATTGAAATAACGTTTTGAGATCTGAAAAATTCCTATAAAATCACATTTTAGTGGTCCGAGATCTGATTCCAGTTAGATCGTATGAATGATCGTTGTTAAAATATACATCCTGGATATCCTCGTATATAATCATCGACTTTACTCGGGTTAGTGAATAACGGAATTAACAAAGTCAAATATGAGAATGGATTTCGAATACATACATTTCATACAATCATTGATCCAAACAAACGATCGGCGAAACGAAACGAAGAAGAAAAAAGCGAAGCGAAATGATGTGCGGTGGACAAGGCATATAAGCCAGTTCGATTTAACCGAATGCGAATCGATATTTATAGTCGAACAGAAATAAGTTACAGACATGTGATGAATAGAGTAAACGCACACATATAGAAAGCAAATAATTAACAAGATCAAAATGTGACTCAAGAAGGATTGATGAACTAGTCTATTAGAAAGCTAGAATAAACTATGTGAACCTAACATAGCAACTGGTACTACAACATAAGTTGAAATACACCGATTAGTATAAAGATTAATAGATGAATAATGATTTCTTTGTGAACGATTCAAAATATAACATTTATCTTTTGGAGATTTACTGAAACACATTATAATTAATTGCTTTGTATAAATAAATTTATTATTATTATTATTTGAACACAAAAATATTGGTACAAGAGAGCGCCAATATATATGCGCCACACAAAACAATGGGAATTCGAAGAGAAGTAGAAAGAAAAAAAAACTAAGGAACGCAAAAGAAAAAGAGAGTAATAACGAAGAGGTACAATCAGAAGAAATCTTTCAGGTAAAGGAGACACAACCACTTTTTATGAAGAAAGTAAAAGAAGGTTACAGCAGGATCGCCACTGGCTTCTATTCTGAGCCATATCTGATAACGTCTCTAGCCACTGTGTTGCACCATCTCTCGGACCCCAACCAGGGAGTCGTGAAGGACCAACACAAGCCAGTCCTTTGCAGCTTTCTTTCATGCCACGACACCATGTCATGCACTGACCACCTCTCCGCTTCTTCCAACCAGTCCCAGAGTCGGCAAATAATGCACGACGTGGAATTCTCTGGGACGGTATAAATAAATAAATAAATAAATAAATATTTTGCATTATTTTGTTAGCTTATACGACTTCTTAGCTTTGGAAACCCGGAAAACATATCGTTTGTCAATTCCATGAATTTCGGTAGGTCCTCATCAGCTGCTTACAACCTAAAATATTTGAAATTCAACGTTATTATAGATATTGACATACTTATACAACAGAGGGTGATGAAGGATGAATATATGTAACATTTAGCAAAGATTTCGTTAATGAGGTCATAAAATTTTTGTTTCGAATATATAGATTTTGGGAAAGAATGTTTAACAGTACATACTTATGCATCATTATATATTACATCGTTGAATTTCAAATATTTTAGGTTGTAAGCAGCTGATGAGAACCTAACGAGATAAGATGAATTCATATTATTCTGCACCAACCTTTGTTCTTGCTCTCTTTAAAATAATAAAGGGAACTATGTGTATGAAATTTCTCAAAATGCGTCTCCCTGCACAGTCATTCAAGTCACTGAATCGCCTGGTGTCAATACGCTGCAGAATATCGAGAGAAATCACTCGATTTAAGTTTTCTGATGAATGTCTCAAGTCATGCCGTTATCCACGTCAATTCTTAAAATGTTTGCGCTCATGTAAACTTCTGCCTTCTCTAAAAAACATTCGACGCATCACAAAATCTCACATAGAATCTACAAAGTTACTGGTCGAACGTTTGAGGACAGAAACTAATGCCTTTTATGAATCAGTTAACGATCTGAGTATCGTGTGTCGCATAAAATTTGTCAATTTTATCCAAGGTTTGCAAAGCAAAATAAGCAAGAACCTCCACGTAAATTTGTCAAAGACTCTGTCGAAGGAACAATTTTGCTTTGCTTTCCCGGAAAACAAAGAAAGTTCTCTATACAATCTATCAACAGTGAAGTTAAGTCAGATAAAATAGAAGCCTTGTCGCCTGGATTTGAATTTCATATCCCAAAACACATGCCGATACAATCGACACAGAAACTCAATTTGAGAATTTATTTGATCAAATTAAAGAGTTGCACCCAGTTAGCGAAGAAAAGAAAGGCTGGTTTAAATCTAAACTAGTCGATATCGCAAACCAATACCTCGTCTCACCCACACCGCAACCTAAGCTTTTATCCAAAGACCACCAAACAGCATTACGAGATATTAAGCGAAACGATGATATAATGAAATTACTGTCAGATAAATGTTCAAGTGTAGTTCTAATGAACACAACAGATTATGTCTCTAAGATGAATTCCATTTTAAGTGACCACACGAGATCCAAATTAGAAAAAAGTAACAAAGACTTAACTGATTCCACTGAGAAAAGAATCACGAAAGTACTAAGAGACCGATCGATAATTCTACTTACAATAACCTACGACCTCATGGGTCTCGTTTGCCCCACATTTATGGTTTACCGAAAATACATAAACAAGATAATCCTCTTAGACCTATTCTGTCAATGGTCAATTCACCATACCACAATGTTGCATGATGACTGGCAGATAAATTAGAACCACTTCGTCAAAGATTAGCCACCTATACACTAAAGGATTCATTTGTATTTGCTGACAGTATGAATCACATAAATATTGCTGGCAAGTTTATGGTTTCTTTTGATGTGACATCATTGTTTAAAAAATACCACTTCTTGAAACCATAGACATAATTTGTCAACATTCTGACATCCTACCTCTACCAGTACCAAAATTCAAACGACTATTACACATTTGTACAAAAGATGTTCAGTTCAAGTTCAACGATATCATATACAAACAAACCGATGGTGTAGCGATGGGAAGTCCGTTAGGTCCTGTCCTAGCAGATATTTTCATGGCTAACCTCGAAAGAACCAAACTCAAACGAGCGATTAATGAAATGACGTATTATTCGAGGTATGCTGATGATACCTTCATCGTATGTAATAACAAACAACATGCAATAAATCTGCTAGTTTTTCAACGAAGCACATCCGAATATCCATTTCACTATGGAACATGAAAAAGAAAACAAGTTCCATTTTCTCGATATCGCGATGAAAAGGATGGTACAGTTCAACGTTCAGTTTATAAGAAAGACACATGGAATGGTAGTTATCTTAATTTCAATAGCTTTTGTCCAATCAATTATAAAAAGGCACTTGTCAAAACATTGTTTCACAGAACAGAAAGAATATGTACTGCCGATACAATAGAAGAGGAAGTTATGTTAAAAAGTGTTTAAGGAATAACGGATAGCCATTGAAATTTATTGAGAAATATGGGAAACGTGAAGATAAAATACCCAAAGAAACTACAGTAAATAAAAAAGCCTGTTTTTATTCAACTCAAATTCAAAGGGGATAATGTCACAGGGTCAATAAATATGAGACTAAAAACTGCATCGACAAAAATATATCCTGCAGCTGAATTGTCCTGTCCAAAACAACATGTTCTTTGACACAATCAAAGGTCGACAGGTATCCCTTTCATGTTACTACTAATTGTGTATACAATTTACATGTATCTGCCAAAGCAGTTACATTGGTAGAACAGAAAGGAGAGCCTACGTCCGATTCAAGGAAAATATTCCGAAGAGTTTGAGATTAAACGGACTAAGAGCATTTAGCAGTGCTCTCGCAAGACATCTCCTTCACACAGGACACGAAGTCGATATACTGAAGTCCTTCAAGGTGATCAACAAACAAACAAATTCAAACCTTTTGAAATTTGCCGAAGCGATAGCGATCAAACGCTTAAAACAGTAATAAATCTTTCATTGCCCTGGTAACATTAACTCACCCCTTTTATTTATTACGTCATTCTAACTTCTGAATTTTATAATTACATCATTCATAACTGATTAATTTCAATTCATATCTCTATTAATTACCATTAACCTATTTTCAGTTATTTCATTGCATAATAACCTGTTTTAATTCCATGATTTCTAATCATTATTTCAATGTTATGGAACCTTCTTTCCCAAACTCTATATATTCGAAACAAAAATTTTATGACCTCATTAACGAAATCTTTGCTAAATGTTACATATATTCATCCTTCATCACCCTCTGTTGTATAAGTATGTCAATATCTATAATAACGTTGAATTTCAAATATTTTAGGTTGTAAGCAGCTGATGAGAACCTAACGAGATAAAATGAATTCATATTATTCTGCATCAAGCTTTGTTCTTGCTCTCTTTAAAATAATAAAGGGAAATATGTGTATGAAATTTCATGAATGACATGGTCTTTTGTTTCTACCAATTCGCTTAATCTCGTTTATGCATTTAGTTTTATTCGAATTTTATTGTTTAATTTAATCATCACCTATTTTCATAGTCCTGACAGACAAACTCAGCTGACGAGTCCTAAGTATGACGAAACGTGAGCCCTGGATTCCAAAGTATGCCACTGCCTATCTTTGTTTATAAAGCTTGTGACGTAAAACGATCCGCATAAGATGCACATATGCCGATAAGAGACTGTGCAATCGCAGTTTTAAACAGGTTCGCAACTTCAAATAATGCAATGAGAAAACTAAGTTCAGTAGAACTATTTAATATATAAGCGCAGGATATTATTCGAAATACATTACAATTGTATAGCATATAGTTCTGGTAAACTTCGTTTCTCACCGGGTTCTGCAATCATAAATCCAAATTAATAATCCATAAAATTGGCCAGATTTAAGGCAGAGTACATCATTTAAATTTGTAATATGCGAACCCAGAATTGTTTGTTACATAAAATCAAATCAAATCGTTGATGTCGGAGCTGACTAATATGAAGTGTTAACTTGAATTAGTTTATAAGTGAAATCAAATTGTGAGACAATTTATCAGAATAAATATGGTCAACATGGGGTGAGAGAGAGAGAATAATGGAATAAAAATAAGAAATTACGTAATATGTAGAATAATATGAATTAAGTCAAATATAGTAGATAGGGTTGGATGCTGAATAAATTTCTCAAAAAGGTTAGCAAGTGTAATAATAAGTTTGGGACATAAAAATGAACATTAGTCAAATCATGTCACTGTATTATAAAATTGATTAACTAGTTGGCCAGGTTAAAAAAGCGGCTCTAGCTTTTCGGTCCGAATAGCAATTGCTTCAGCCGTCTGCAAGATTCTCAGTCTGACGGAATTAGGTAGGCTGCTGTTAACACTGTATATTATTGAGAAAGATTGCTCCATATTGGCTATATATCCCATCTGAATTAAACGGGTTAAAATGGAGCTGTTAACAGTTTTGACTACATCTTTTCATTTCACTTATAAACTGATCCAAGTTAACACTTCACATCAGTATGCTCCAACATTAACGATTTTATATTATTTTATGTCACAAACAATCCCTAATTCACATATTACAATTTTAAATGATGCACTGTGCCTTAAGTCTGGTCAATTTTATGGATTATTAATTGCGTTAACTTATTTTGTAGATTAGATTCAACTTTGAACCCGTGAACATCATCAGGTGAATTAAAAGTACTCACGATACAACAGAATTTGACAATCTTAGTATCTGGCTGCTTCAAGATATCCTGAACACAAACAAGGAAGATGATAATTATTGAGAGAAGCAATATGTTCGAGCAGACGTAGAGAGTTCAACGTTAAACATTACCTTGACCGCTAAGGAAAGAAGAATGTCAAGTGAATTTTACCCAGGTATGACCATGATCCTTGACTGAGTGTTGTCACCTAACAACATCTGTTAAAACTAATGTTAGAATAAACGTCGAAAGTCTCCATAGTTACGCCACACAACAATACGAATAACACGCGAGTATTAACTAATCGACTAGTTTTCCTTTCGGAGTATCAATGAGCCATATATGAAACTTAATATGTTTAGCGAACGAGCAACTCTAAAATATCAATTTAGACTGGCATTAAAATTAATTGACAATCTGTTCTTCCTGCAGAATGACTCCAACTTAACGAAATTGGACTTATTATAAACAATTCAACCACAGAAACTTGTTTCACAATGTTTGTTTCAAACCAAGATTTTGTTAATGATTTTAGGGGTTTGGTTAACTAATCGGTTGAATAATATTCTTAGAGTGAATAAGGTGATTGAAGTGACAATTTGTTTCAGAGGTCGATATTTATGTATATAAATAAATATATTAAAAGTGACTATAACTGTTTGACTGATTAAGTATATATGGATGGAAGATTAAAACAGCCACTTATCCAAATAATATTTAAAAAAACAATAGCTAGTCGAACTGATATGGAAATGAAACGAATATCTTAAAATCACCAACTATTTTTAATTTCTGTCCTTCAGAATACATACTTGATATACATTACATTTTTCATTGAGATCATGAAGCGACTGATGTTAGACCACCACCTTTGGAAACCTGGAAGCACTGGACGGCCGTTTCGTCCTATTGTGGGACTCCTCAGCAGTGCGCATCCACGATCCCGCTCGCAGGATTCGAACCCAGGGCCTTCGGTCTCGCGTGCGAACGCTTAACCATCAACATCAATCGGTTCATGATCTCAATCAAAAACGCAATAATCTCCACAACCCCTATACTAGTAATCAACATGTGCTCACTAGTGACTAGCTTTGTGAGGGAATTCTCAGAGTTCTAGTAAGAAGCCGTGATCAGTGGAGCTAATCCATGTCGGGTATAGACAGGTATCTACCTCAGTACAATGGAAGTTGGTCGCGAAATTTCGTGGATTGGTTGATGTTAGACCCTATCACCATTGGATGCCGGATCAGTGGTCCAGTTGGTTAGGCGTTCGCGCGCGAGACCGGAGGCCCTGGGTTCGAATCCTGCGAGCGGGATCGTGGATGCGCACTGCTGAGGAGTCCCACAATAGGACGAAACGGCCGTCCAGTGCTTCCAGGTTTCCAAAGGTGGTGGTCTAACATCAGTCGCTTCATGATCTCAATCGAAAACGTAATCTCCACAACCCCTATACTAGACATCACATTCTATCTTTCTGCATATTAATTTCTGAATATATGTTATAAAATGGGAAACATGATAGGAGCTGATGAATTGCAGAACAATATATTACATTTAACCAAAGCGAAATAACTACTGGTACTATTCATCAAAAAAAATAATGAGTGCTGCATTGCAGGTTGTATACAAGTTGTTAGGTGTGACTATGCTATAAATATTATTTTCTATAAGTAATGCAAACCAGGCATCGGATTAATATCGATAAAAATTGCAACTTCATAAAGAAAAATTTAATAACTTTCATAACATTTGTTACATTCAAACATGAAAAGACAAAAAAATCTAAAAAGTAAATAATAGGTGGGATTTACAGGGGAAATGCATTAGAAAAGCACTGACATTCATGTTCTATGCCTCAAACAATACTGAACATAATCATCAACCAACTTTGCAATACGTTCATCAGTAACCTTATGAGATGGTTTGTTGATAATCTATAAGCAAACAAAACAGAAAAGACAAATGGCAATCATAAAATATAACTGGAGAAGAAATCTCAATTGTGTAAATTAATTTTGGTAAACAATATCAACAAGAATGATCACGACATAAATTCATACACTAGAGGAGTTTAAATCTTTAAACACCCTGTTTAACAGGATAGTTAACATTGTTAGAAAAATCCCTATTCACGAATAACTAGAATTATTGAGAGACGAACAGATTCTTAAAGCGTTCAGTATAAATAAGTTTTAATATTGGATAGACTACGATTACAAAGGACGAGTGCACACAATAGATCGCCTAAATGTATTCATTTATTGGACCTTTAATTAGATGAGAAAAGTTTAGCTACCATTCATTTCAAACCAAACAAATAGACAAAATTAATTCTGATAAATCTAACTTCGGTAGCTTTCCTTATGTTAGTTCGTTATTTTCAGAAATTAATCTATGGTATTCAAAAGTCAAGTATTGTAAATAGTTTTTACAGTATTTAAAAAGCTTTTCAAATATCTAGGGAACAAGAAAGTCAACAAAATAAGACACTATGCAAACCTTGTTGACAACATTGAAATGAAAGTATTATAAAAACAGGAAAGTACAGAAGTACATGAAAAAAGTACGATTACCTTGCTCAAGGAACGTTGAAAAATATTACGACAAGTTTCTTTGTCTATTCTGTGAGAAGAGACATATGCCTTTAAATGATGTTTCAAGGTAGACTTTACTCTTTGCAGAGATTCAGAGCTCCAATTACAATGTGAAGGATTAACTTCACTTGGACAACTGTGAGATGTTGATGGGATAGGATTATTGATAACAGAACATTTTGCAGGTGTATTGTTATAATGTTTAACTTGAGAGTTTGTATTTGAATTTGAGGATATGAGGGGCTTGGAGACAGAAGATACGCCATCTGATGTAGAAGGAGAAGAGATGGAGTTAACTGTAGACAGAGAGGGGAATTTATTGTTTACTGAGTTCGCTATATTGACCTTGTTTGTGGAAAGTGATGGGACCTTGGCTACCGGAATAGGCGACATAGAATGATCCGGATTTACTTGCATATGACGAGTAGAAAAGCGGAACAATGATGCCTGTCCAGCTTCTATGTCACTGAGATAAGTTGATGATCGAGGATTCGGTTGAGAAATAGAATTGTTTGAACTGAAGTTAAAACAGAGAAAGGTTTAACGAATTCATATGAAATAACACAATTTAAGTACGTTAAAGCAATTCGAGAAAAATGTACTAACAACGAGAAAATTTAAATGTAAACATTAAAAGTTAACACCGGATTATGCGAACTGGATTTTTAATCCACCAGAGATACTTTATATACTGGAACTTACTCCGTATACACAGAACAAGACCACAGAGAAAGGGATAACTACAGTTCAATAAACATTTAGTAGTCATGTGAACAACGTGTATTATAAGCATCTATAAAGAACACAATCTCCACAAACAAACGGAAAGCATAGTGGCGTTGAAAAATTGGTTAAGACACCACTTCAAACTGAAACATACAAAAACCCAGTAGCACTAATAATAAAGTAAGAATAGTTTTAAGAAACAGTTCAATTACAAAATGATTAGTAAAACTTCCAAAGGATGTTAATGAGGAAGAAGCTAACATACATCTGACGATTACATTGAGCTTAGCCAATAAATTATGAAAGAATGAAATTTGAAATCTATGATGTTTAATTTTTTTTATTAGCGATTACAGAATGATAAATGAATTTCAGTGTTAATATGCTACGAAATTGTAGTAGCCGAAGTGCAGTAAACACCATCAATAAGAAAATTTAAATAACAATTAATACCGTCTGTAAGTCAAATGTCTAACTAAAAGTTCTGAATTTTTAAAAAGTACTGAGATATAAAAACGCGTGTAGACTTTCGAAAATTACTATCAGTGTTGAACCTCGGAATAGTAACTGGAAAAGAGTTACAAAACGATTTATCGGAAACTAGAATTTATGCGTTAAGAAATGCTCCTAGTTATACAAAACTATGAACATAAGTTATGTAAGAAGCTTAATCAATTGTCTAAACATGAAAGCAATATTGACTGAAAAACGAAGTTCGGAATTCACTGGACATTCAGTGGACAATTAATGATTTCTAAACGTAGTGTTTCTATCCGTCACAGTGAAAATGGTTGGTACTAAAGTAAGCACGTGTGCTTCGTTACTTGGTAAATATGGTAAATTTTCCGGCACCTGTAGAGACTGAGTATATGAAAACAGAACTTTGTGGTGAGTCATCGATGAGGAGAAAGCACTTGATATAATGTTTATTAAGAAACAATAGCAATTAACAGAAATTATATTTTTTAGATTGTAAAACCTTTAATTAAATAGTTTCTAATGTTTACAAAAATATACTCCTAGTGTCATCTCGTAATTAAGTACTTTAATGCAACCTAGTAACTAGGTGAAAGTTGTGAGCCCCCAAATGCCCTGGTACGGCCGAGAGTGGGGAGAGTCCATTCTCCCTCTCGAAATGCTCTCACATGGCCACCCGTGTATAGCCTCTGCCAGGGAAGTCCTACTTACTGCCTTCTCGTGGCGGGGGTGTTGTTTACGAAAATGAGAGAACGAAAAGCGAATGTTCGGCGCTTTAACCGGATTCCAAACCAATGGTGCACATGGGCTCCAGTATCCTGTGGGAACAAATGGCGTATGAACCAATTGTTGGTCACCGGCTTCCATGGGACTGCATCTCCTTACGATGCTCTACTGCCTTGTGGATCAGACCTTCAGGTCGAAGGCTCGGGGAGTGGCCCCCTAAGAAAACCACCTGCTTCGGTTTGGGCACCCGGGCAGTATCACGGCTCTCACACATCGAATAAGATTTGTGTGGCGCATATGTATTTGGTGCCTCCTTGTACCAATATCTGTTTTAAAATAAATAAATAAATAAATAAATAATAAATGTGTATTCGACTTCAAATCACACATTTTTATGTGACGCCTATCCGAGTTCACGAACTCAATTGATGAGACAGGATTCAAACCTATGACTGGACAGTTGGAAATCAAGTGATTTACAAATGAACAACAGACTGATAAAGAGAAATATATGAGCGATTGAAGAGTTTACACTCTTCATTGGAAACACACCCAGACATTTGTATGCAACAAGAAAAATGTTTTTGATCCCCAGTATAACGCTTAATCTCAAGGTTTAGATGGTTTTGGCGGGTTACCGTTTTGACTCAATAGGAATTTAACATTTGTCCTGACAACAAATACTAGTGTATAACCTTAAAATATGTTATGAGAAGGCATTTAATAACATGGCTAACAGTTTGCAATCAGTAAGGGATGACTTTATCCAAGATACGTACAAATAAGAGGAAAATGATATAATTAATATTATTACGCTTAACGACTGTTAATTACAGATACTGTTAGCATATTCAATAACGCAACATGTTAAAACCCATTTGACCGAGATTTCTATATGTTAAGTCAGTTTAGAAGGAGTACTAATCCCAGAAAAATGAAATGGAAACGTGACAAAATCGTAGCTATTTCTGAACATTTGTTAAAACCTGTCACTCGAAAACTACGATCAACAAATATTTTTCAACGAAATCAATGGTAGTTGAAAGAAACCTTGAACGTTGAAACGTTGTAATGCATGAAAAAATAAACGCATTTCAAAACATTACACGATGATCCGTTAGCTATTCGAGTTACTGATACTTTATTTTCTACAGAACTTTTACCCAAGGGAATCTATAAAGAACCACTCTTTAACCATTTACACCCAAATTTTAGACTTTAAGTAACTTAGCAGTAATTGAATGAAATACAATACATAAATCTAAACTTACGTGGAACTAGCAGTTATGATAGGTAGAGAAGGTACGATTGATGCTTTATCGTCATCTTCATCGACCAAAAGTCTAAAACTAGAAAATATGCAAAAACGATTATCTACATGTACAAATAGAAGCTAAAAGATAATACATGTTAACGATAAGTCAAACTCTTCTACTAATAATAATCATGCAAAACGTTTGGTCGATTTTAGTAACTACGTGTGTTTCTAACAGATTCCCATTAGTCTTCAGGTATATTTTACTGTTGTTTAATTGTTTAAAGAAGAAATACCTCACAAGTTTTTAGTCGAGTCAACTAAATCTCACGTAAAATGTTACAAAATTAGGTAGACGTTATTTGATATTTTTCTAGGGACAAGAGAGCATGGTTGGGGAAAAATAAACTAGTAAACAGTAAGTGTAACAACACATAGTTTCGAACTAAAAACTTTATGGAACAACCTAATCTGCATTATTTTCTTATACGATCTCAACTATGGAGCCTTCAATGAATGAATTTACTCTTTACGCAACCCATCTAGAGATTACAGACACACATAAAACATACTACAGCCAATACTAAATGTAAGAAGTTAGTGTAAAATGCATTGTAGTTGAATTGCTTTTTCGAAAATTAACAGCCAGGTACATAAGTAGCTTGATTATTTATTTATTTTCTTTGATTTTAATGCATAGATATTGGTACAAGGAGGCACCAAATACATATGCGCCACACAAATCTTATTCGATGTGTGAGAGCCGTGATACTGCCCGGGTGCCCAAACCGAAGCAGGTGGTTTTCTTAGGGGGCCACTCCCCGAGCCTTCGACCTGAAGGTCTGATCCACAAGGCAGTAGAGCATCGTAAGGAGATGCAGTCCCATGGAAGCCGGTGACCAACAATTGGTTCATACGCCATTTGTTCCCACAGGATACTGGAGCCCATGTGCACCATTGGTTTGGAATCCGGTTAAAGCGCCGAACATTCGCTTTTCGTTCTCTCATTTTCGTAAACAACACCCCCGCCACGAGAAGGCAGTAAGTAGGACTTCCCTGGCAGAGGCTATACACGGGTGGCCATGTGAGAGCATTTCGAGAGGGAGAATGGACTCTCCCCACTCTCGGCCGTACCAGGGCATTTTGGGGCCTTTGTAGATTCCTCAATGATATTACGATTCCTATAAATAAATTCAGTGGAGAGGTCTATCTGTAATTAATTTATTATCAAGCTACATATTCGTGTATGCTCATATATATATATATATATATATATATATATATATATATATATATATATATATATATATATATATATATATATATATACAACCGACTTTTAAACACTGGTGACTTGTAAACTCTAATTGCTGTACAATTTAAAGATCAAACGATCTGATTAACTAGGAGTATATGTGTATTCAGACGAATATTTAGCTCTAAAATTGGTGTTAAGTAATGCCAAAATGATTAGGTTATACAAATGGATTGCTAAAAAAAAACCTACTCGCATTGTGATTCTTTACCCAAAATTGATAACTTAGGTAGACTAGATCCTATCAAGCCATTTCGAACTCGAAGTTGGGAAGAAGTTGATGGTTTCGGGCTAACAGACGATAGGGACGAGGAGAGTTTCCGCTAAATGTGCAAACAACGTACATAATATCATTTAGAACACTTTGGAATCGATAAATATGTACAAAGATCACACAAATAGAATTATTCTAGCTATTATTTGTACAGTATAAGCTAAAAACTTTTTATATTTCCGAAGCTTCAAAATCCACTGGAATTTCAATTTAGCTTTAAAACACTAAGGATAAATTAACTCTTCTTTACCAGATATAGACTCATGTACTTCGAGCTACGAAATAAATGTGAGGGTAAGCAATGCTACCCGGTCTTTTCAAACAAATTAGATAGATCAAGGCTTGAAAGCACAACTTGAGCAGAAAGTTGGACGCCTTGACCGCTGAGCCTATGACTCCACTTCAACTTCAGTGATCCGTAATGTAATGTTGACGGTAAACCGACTAAAAGCCTATGGTACGCCTATAATCTCCGTGTGATGTAAAGAAATGTGCAAATCTTAATCAAAGCATTTTGGGAGAGATTCTACGTAACCGAGTTTATCACTGTATCTTGGTATTATTCGTCTAACTTTTGAGTTATGGATTTCGATCGGAATTATTCGTCGTACATTGACAGAAAACAAAAGATCGACTATATGTATAGTTATTTCAAAAGAATGTAAGCTAAAATAATTTTCTATTACCAATATATATTAGTAAGTATTAAATGTAAACTGACCGCTCAGAAGAATATAAAGATATACTTTCTTAAGATTTACTCAATCTACTGTAGAAACAACAGCATAATTCATGTACATACCAAGTGATTCGATCTGTGAAACTTTGAACTGATATGTGCAACTAGATTCCTAGCACGATAAATAAAGAAATCCATAAAAAATGTCTGTGAAATCGCCAGAATCCTTAAGATAAAAACTCGAAACTGATCTCCGAGAAAATTCATACCACTTTACGTGTTTATGTATACTGAGTCGTCATAGTATAAGTAATAAACTAGAGTAAATAAAAATTTGAGGTTTGATGTCCAATTACTTAACATCTCACTTTATTGCATAAAAGCACGTGTATATTAAATGTCTTGGAGACGAGTACATCCATACGACTCTGGTGTAATTTAACTTAATCAAGTCTGTTAAACCTCATTCGTTCAAATAACCAAAGTGGGTTGAAATTTAATGCACGATTCGAACAAACCACTTCTGTAGTATCATATTTTCTACCTGAGCACTACAATACTGAATAGTGATGGACCAACTTTCTCATTTGATGATAAATCTTTACTGAGAACCAACGACGAATATCGTCGCACAGTTGAGACGAAATTTGTAGTATGCCGATAATTATTTCTTAAACAATACATACATCAGTATATTTGTTTAACTTACTATTTTTTTACGCATTGTTTTGTTTCTCGAACGCTTAAATGTTCTGGATTTGAGTGACCTTTTCTTGACACGTTTGCCTTTCGCTTTTTTAGATAAGCGTCTTTTGGTTTTTCTCGTTGTTTTACTCTTTTTCGGTGGGTTTTTCACAGCAGGGACAAAAGTTTCATCGAAATTAGAATTTTCCGAATCAGATTTACTATGAGTGACTTCAAATGTAGAATCTTGAATGAAATCCATATGAGAAGACTCCGAAGTTCTACTGCTGCATACATCCCCATTGAGACTGGTAGTACTCGTTTGGATGACAGTATTGCCTTCCTGAACTCCATTGGAATCGTGCGAGGATGATGGGCCCGCTAAAACAGGAAACTCTTCCACTTCTGACTCACTAGGAGATCGTAGTAATCGAGAACGGTGACCAGTAAGTTTTGTGTTACGAAGTATAACTCCATTCTGATCATCTGAATCCGAATCACTGCTGGATAGTATACGCAGTCTTTTACGGGATGGCTAGATGAGAACAAAAATATAATCACAAAAATAATAATAGAGGTATGAGTTAGGAAATAATCACAAACAGATAAAATGCTTAAAATCAATGCTGTGAATGTAACAGTTTATACAGGTACCTTACTTCCTTAAAAACTATTTTTAAAACTAAATATATTACTATTGTTTATTATTATTATTATCATTATTATTAATGGCTTTATTCAATATTATCTTTTTGGTACAATATAGAATTCTCAGCACCGATGACATCAAATGATATATTTTTTGAAACACAAACAAGATCTAGAAACATCTTGATAGTATTTCAGCGGCGAAAAAGAACCTGAATTTTACAGGTGTCGTTTCATGCTTTATTAAGTTACAAATGATTTCAAAGCAAGAAACAATTTAGCTTGGTTTTCTCTGCATGAACAATTATCACTAGACGTATGTAATTTTCCCTCAATCTCACTATTGGTAATCAAATAGTTCACTAAGTGCGTTTATGCATTGTGGTGTACCATGGTGCAAGGGTATCTTGAAACATTACTTCAGAGGAATATAAACACGGTAAAACTGCGTTGTTATCATCATGAATAATCTCTGAAGATTGTCGCGATCAATAAAAAAACAGTTAGCTGAAAACGTGCAGTGGCTTTCAATAATCAACACCTGGAAGTAAACGTTTTACTACTTTCTCTACAGCATATAATGCCCAGTTATCCACCAAGGAGAATCGGTCTATGTTCTACTTCTTTGTGTACCTAGATGATTTGCTCTTGGGACTCTCACTTACTGGTGTTTAATCTAGATCGAAAACGGAGAAATATCAGCTGTATTCACAACCATTAAGAGATGTGGATTAGTACCCACCAAGAGGTTTTTATGCCATACTATGAGCCACACATGTTTTAAGTTTCAACAAAACCACCCTATCCCCAAGACTGTCACTGGATTTAATTTGAACCTATACTTGGTGAGTTGCATCATCATAACTTATTGATTGGTTCTCATATGGGAAGAATAACAACTGCTCACTATAGTTCTACTAGGTCAGTACAAAACATCGAACCGAATAACATGACAACTTTTACTTAGCTTATATTACCACTATTTTACTCTGTTCCCTTTACAACAAGTTATGTGCAAAGTACTTTTTGTCGTACCAGGTCTACTAAACGAATCAACTTTTTTAAAATGAAAATGAATTAAACAGATAGTTAATTGAAAAGAAAACCCCTTTGGTATCAACTAAAGCAGAATTTGCCATTTCTCACCAATTCAGGGGTTTTTTTTTCCAAAAAACGACATATTAGCTATTGGTACTATTTGAATGACATATTAGATAAAAAATTTCTAAAATGAGACTAGGTTTCTCACCGATTCAAAAACCTTTTTTGTGATAATAAACTACTAAAACCACAATTAAAAGTAAAAAAAGATGAACTATTTTCTAAATATTACCTCTGACTGATCATGACCTGATACTTGTCCATTACATTCTGACCGAACAATATTATGAATCTGGCTTCTGTGGTGAGAGTTCGAATAACTTGGAGGACGGCCCAACCGGATACTAACAGGTTGACTCGTCTAAGAAAAAAAACAAATAACTAATAACACCGCGTATGAATAAAATTATGGTTAAGTCTTATGGTAGAGAAAACATACAATAGTTTTGTTTCATGAAAACAGCTTACCGAAGATGATATTTCGAAACAGATTGTCGTCTGACTGTTCGCTGGACCAGATGGACTTAAACTAGTAGATTCTGATGCAAGCTGATTTTGAACACGTTGTCGTTGACTACGACGGCGTCGTGCTCGAACAGAGGCTTCTGATGTTATTCGTTCACTTAGATCAGCGATTAAATCTTGTAATAACCGACGTCCACGATGACGTCTAGTAGCCTGCTCTTCAAGCCTCCTCTGAGCAGCAAAACTAAGCTCACGTGTTAAATGGAGGTTTTCTGAACTAGAATCTAAGGAAGTGTTCAATTCATCGTGCTCACTCTCCTCTGCCTCAGAATCAATTAACCTTCTCTGAATACTTCTTCGAACACGTCTATTAGTAGTTGTTGTTGGCGCGACATCGGTAGCAATTATTTCGGGCGGGACAACCCCCTGTCGAAGACATTCTGGACAAAACCAGTCGCCATCTGGGATGGATGAGAGTGGGGTTGGGAGACAGTAAGTATGATACCCTCTATCACAGTGATCACATAAAAGTAAGTGCGCTTCATCATCTGGACGATGACATACCTCACAGTTAACATCCAATTCTAATGGTGGTGTTTCTGAAGGCTGCTGTTTAACAGGTGGCGCATTAACCTATAGAAACCAGTAGGAAAATAAGATGACATAATATCAATGAAAATATCATCGAAATAATAAGGCCATAACTATTGCTAAGCATATTTTATGTCACTTCAGTGGGAGTGAAATTTTCTTGATAACAGATAAGTGACTAGAGGGCGTTTTTATGGTTCGTGCGAAAAATGACCAAATAAAAGTTATTGTTATCAGTTTGCAACTATATGTATGGTATATGATTTGGACTACATTCTATGGAAATTCCACAGGAAGAAAACTTATTCAATTAAAAATGGACTAAAACCCTTTTTACTGTTGAATTAATGCGAAAACCCGTTAGAGCATTAAAATACTCCTCCAGAGAAGGCCTTCATGGAATGATAAATGGACGAGTTTCTGCAGCTGTGCTATCATTAACCGAATGATAAAGTCAATTATTTTGCTACACGAATCCACAGTTCCCATGCTACAAAAAAGACAAATGTAATAAAATTACGCGTCTAAAGTGAGGGTAAACAGACCAAAACCGTCCTGGTGAATGAATGACCTCTGTATGAAATGTATTACATATTAACGTTGATATACCTATGAATCTTAAGGATGACCTTAAGCTTCCTGGAAAGAATCTCCATATCATCTTTATGACTAGTGTCTTCAGTGGACGTACAATCATCAACAACCTAAGGGAAAAGCTTTCGTAACTAACTAATGCTGGTTATTCATAAACAACGTAAGATCCGATGTGAATATGTATCAGTCTAAGTTGCCATATTATAACAACAAGAGGAAATAAATAAGATGGAAAACAGTAATATTAATATGATAGTAAGGATAAAAGAAAATGGAAAGTATGGCTTGAATAGAGGAAATGAAAATGACCAATGAAAGGTCTACAAAAAGATTAAGACCTAAAGTATGGGAGAAAACAAAAGCTGAATAAAATAGCCACAACGACCGATTTAGGGTTAATAGACTTAACACATACAACCGCTGATTAAGATTTCCCTAGGGATTCCAACCTGAAAAATTTCATTTTTAAACACAAATCATACAGCTGTTCAGTGACCACACAAACTGATTTGATCAGTCTACGGTAATAGAGATAAATCACGACTACACTCCGATATCAGGATACCACAAATCCATTATTTCCGAGTCCCAACTACTCCAAAACACAAATCTTGTAAGGAAAACTTATATGGTAGTAACTAAATAATAATTTGCGTTCGAATCTATCTCACTAGATACATATTATACTCAATGATTGTTAGCTAAGAAATTATCATACTGAATGGATTCATTTGTCTATACCGAAGTCAAATGAACGAAAAATCACAATGAACTAATCCACATGAGTGAAGGCGAACTTAAAATCATAATATGACTTCAGGATGGAATCCATTAGCCCACATTGTCACATAAAGTTTATCGGTTACCCGATGAGCATTTTATATGAGAGTTTAGTTAAATGGTTAAAATGGGTTGGCAGTGGATACAATCTAGGAACTAAGCCATACGAACACGTTACTAGGAGTCAACGGTTAGGTGGAAAAGCATTTCTGAAGACGGTTTGCAGACAAAGCGCTTAAACACGGAGAATACCGAACTGTGCACAAAAGAAAATTGTTTAACTACTTCTCTGAATAGGGTTGTAATATAGTCCCAAGAATTACCTTGTTTAATAATTTTTACTTATTTGAACACAAATATTAGTACGAGGGGGGCACCGAAGACATATACGCCAAACAAGCCACTTGATTTGTGTGTGGGCTGTGATACCGCCCGGGTGCTCAGACCAAAGCAGGTAGTATTATTAGGGGACCACACCCGGAGCCTTCGACCTAAAGGTCTGATCCACAGGGTAGCGAAGTAACGTTAAGAGATGGAATCCCGTAGTAGCCGGTAACGAACGATTGGTTGATACGGTATTTAGTGCCTCAGGATCCTGGAGCCCACGTGCACCACTGCTTTGGAATCAGGGTTTCCCAACTCCCCATTGGGTCACCGAGTACAATGCAAGTAATTCTGGCCTATTATCAAAAGGTGTTTTCTTACAACTAAAAAATAAAAATCGTGACCTAAGATCTGGTCGCAATAATCATTAACCTTGAACGAAGACCAATCGAAACCATAAGTCTCGTTAATGGCGTACATGGTAAGTTAGCTATTTATTATATACTAAAAGACACCGATGTAAGACACATTGAGCAGTTGACACACTAATGCGTTGCTGGATCAATATGATTCATGAAAAAGAATACTCTAATAACCGATGACATAAGTATATATGGCTTTATATATTTTTTGACAAAAATACGACATACCCGCTTTATTATGGGGCCCCCAACCCAATCAGATAATAAAATAAGTTCATAAACGCCACGATCCAGAGGACATTCATGCCGTACACGTGACCACTCTTTTAGACATATGTAGCAAAACGCATGATTGCATGATTCCGGAGTAGCAACAGGCTTTCGAATCCTCTCGCAACATATCGGGCATTGGTGGTTCTCTTTAAAGGACGTTACTGTGAAATTTACAGAACCAGGTGTCTTGCGGATTAGTATTTCACTGAAGGATAAGGAACAACCAGAGACAGGACAGGCGAATCCCGAAGAACAGTCAAAATCACTAGCCCAATCCTCTAAGCAATTAATATGAAACATATGAGAGCATGATTTTGGTGTGCAGTTTTCGCCTTTTATACTTCCACGACATAATTCACACAAGTAGTCACTTTTCTTCAGGTTGAGGAAATCTAACATCTCAATGTAACTAAATAATCATAGGTGACGCCGGTGAGTGCGATCGTGTAACGTCAAGTTCAAATGGTTCAAATGGTTGTGGACGGAATAGAAGAAGCTTTCGCTTAACAGGCTTCCGTGTCTAGTAGCAGGGGATCACCAAATCCTCCAGGCAGGAACCTAGGTATGTTAACAACAAAAGAGGAAAAGAAATTAGTAAATCATAGTATGATACTATCTTTAGTCCTTAAGAATAGATCAAGTTGCCTCTTAAAAGACTCCTGGGAAGTCGCTTGGACTAGCTCGGCCGGCAGCGAATTCCAGCATTTGACAACTCTTAAAGAATAGAAGTTGTGTCTACAGCCCGTTCTGCTATGTTGTGTCGATTTATCGATTCAATTTCTTCAATTGGTTTCCTAAGGGAAATGAAGGAATATAGTGGTGACCTGGTTCTAATGAAATAATGAAATCTGATTTAACTTTTTTGTAATATACTTATACTGGCCTCATTGCAGAACAAGATTAGCTTCAATATGGTGTCAGTCAAATAACGTTCATCCCACCTGTATAGAGAAGTGATCATATGGTCATCTTATTCAAGCTCATGACTGATATGGCCTATCAAGCAGTTGTTCCTGCCCGCCCTGATTTATGGAAGGTGAACATCAAAGCGATCAACACTGTAACATCGGCCTACTTGAAAATTGACTCAGGTATATCAGTATAGAGGCATTGACTCATTCTCTGTATTTGTGCCATCAAATAACCCGACCATTTATGCCCTGGATAGTCTTAAAAGGGAAAAAGCTCGGTCATTCATGAACAAACCAAGATATTTGACGATTACTACAACAAAAGAAGAAATGTCGGAACGTCGTCACCAGCATTGATACAGAAGTACTATGGAATGATTCAAGTTGGTCCGAAATAACTGTATAACTGCAATCCGGTCGGCTCAACGATAAAGCGAATAGCAGTAAGCCAAAACTACATTAAAGCAGCCAAAATGGCTGTTCACGTAGATGCATTACAGAATACGGACGTATCATCAAATTCCCAATGTAAATAAAATGGGGAAACGATCTGTGAGATAATGGTTTAGGTGGGTATTGGTACGTTCATTTTCGCTACCATAATAATAGGCCTAATCCCAAACCTGCAGATATGTCATGATGTAACTACTTAATTTATAAGATTTTACTTGGAAATCCCATCACTATCTATACCGACTCGTTCTACGTGGCAGTCAACAATATGTTTAGCAATTCTGAAGAATGCATTTGAGCTGGGAAAAGAGTAATATATTCAGTTTGAATAGAGATCTATACTATTTGTCGCAAAGGTTTTTCTTACGTTAAATCTATTGGATAAACTAAATTCTGAAGATAATCCAGACAAGTTTCACTACTTTGCCACATGATTCACTTCCTAACATCCATATATACTTCATATAAACCACTTCCGAAACCATTCATTACATAATATATACTTAATAGCCTGGAATAACGACATACTATAAATCCGTGATTTTCAGGCAAACGATGTTAGATTCAACATTAATTTGATAGTTCTTAATTCTGATTATCATTGAAACAAATTACACCAACCGCCTGTGAAAAGTATACATTATACTCACTACGTCCCTAAGTGTAGTACTGAAAGTCATGCCTTGACTTTTAAATTGTTTTTTCATCATGATTTTTCATTGTTATATTCCTCATCAAGGTACATGTCAACCTAGCTTATGCATACGTTCTGCTATATTATTTCTATGCAATTGGGATCAAACAGTTACTCGAACCACCCTCTAAACTTGTCGACAAACCTATTAAAGTCGTTACTGCTATGGATATTTCGGTTAATAAATAAGGCTATCATATTAATTGCCCAAGAAGACGGTTAACATAGCTCAGATAATAAAGTTATCAAAATATTATCGTACTATACTGGTATAATAACTAAACTATCTCGTATCTGTTAGTCGAGTAAGTGTTCAAAACAACAACTCAAGTTTACTACCAAAATGAACAAACAAATATTCAACTAACAGATACTTATGGATTATAATGTGTTATGTTCTCAGGCAGCTTGGATCCGTTAGCGCCACAAGTTCAGAATATTTCCAAAACACGTATAACAACAATACTCATTTCCCACTACCTAATCCTCAATCAAAACTACAACACGTCATGCATAATGGCTTCTGGGTATTATCATAAGGCATTGACATGACTTGGCAATCACTTAATATGAATGATAAAGTTGGCGACATCAACAAAAACCCGGTGGATAAATTTTTCTATGGTATCATTACATAGCGTTGGTTTCTCATGGTTATTTTTATGTGCTATGAATGATTTTAGTATATTTCTCTGTTGGTTACTCATTCAGTAAACATCCTCAAACTTTGTCAGTCCAACTAGAGGTTTCGCAACGCAATGGTAATCATCCGTATGACCAGTCGAGTAAACCACCTGAAAACTGAAAACATCACTGTCGAATTTACCTAAACACTGACTAAGGTTCAAGCTATTATCAAAACATGAGTTGGGAGTTGTACTCCTCTTGTTTACAACTAATGCCCCCCTTGATAGACACATGAGCAGCACTCACTGTTTATCATCCTTTCAACATTTATCCAACAAAAGCATCGCACGACAACATGTCACTTATGTTTGTGACACAAGCTTTTTCAACTTCAAAAGCTTGTAATCTCTGTATTCCAAATAATTCGATATCTACCTTATGCCAAAGTCGATACTTACTTGCATGCACCATCACCCGGCAAGTATGAATGTAAATCATCAGTTTATTGCACATCAAAGAAAGTCTGTCACGGATCCACTCAGATTTAACTGAATGATGCTAGCTATCTGTCCAAAATTCACATGTATTAGTAGTTGTACTAAATCCTGTCACGGTTTAGCAATAACGAAGTCGAGAAAATCACCTGGCTATAAAGCAAACCAAAGTCAATTTAAAAACTAACTGGGACACCAGTTGGGATTCTTTCCTTACAGTTATACTTCATACTCTCCGGTCAGCCTACTAATGGAAATCAACTCGTACGGATAGCGTACCGACGTGAATAATAACTGACTTTCTATTTCAAATCAAAGTTAATATCATTATCAGCCTTTCTATAACATTGATCGTTTTCCTACAAATAATCACAAAATACCTGTACTGCCAATAAACTAAGCTTCTGATCAACAGTGACTGTTATGCATTATAATATGACCTGTAAGAATGTCCCAATGCTAAATCATTGTTCATTATCACGAGTCCACCTCATTTACCTCTTAAATAATCTTCATGTACATTTGCATTTTAGGCATGTTAGGAATTTAACAAAACGTGCCGGAATTATTAAGCGTATTTCCTGATCAATTGCTACCACCTTCTTCTTGATTTATCTTCCTGTTTATCAACTCCCGGAGGATTCACACTGTTGTTTTGATAAACTTCGGCTCGCGACAATCATTACAGTTGGTGTCGAATCAATGTCACGTTGGTTCCCCTGAGATAGTAGTATAGTGGCATTGGTTCGTAATCACACGATCTTCAAAGGTGAGCTTTTACCTTCTGGGAAGATTTACGTTCAACATGTAACACTACGAAAAAGTAAAACATGGTAAACTCTGGAACAATAAGCTAAAATCGCTTAAGTTGGTCATGTAGGCGCGGTCATTCTACGTAATAACTTGCCGATTGTATCAAGTATTGTACTCCTTTCCCAACTCAAATGCATTCTTCAGAATTGCTAAACATATTGTTGATTGCCACGTTGAACGAGTCGGTATAGATAGTGATGGGATTTCCAAGTAAAATCTTATAAATTAAGTAGTTACATCATGACATATCTGCAGGTTTTGGATTAGGCCTATTTTGCGGTGGTGAAGATAAACGTACTATTATCAGCTTAGGCAAATGGACACTTACCAAGTTAGATGTTATTATGTTTATTACACTACAAAATTTTTGGTGAAATCCCAACATTGAAACTGAGTTTAGGCTCCAATCATTTGTATAATAGGTGCCTCGGTTATTTTGGAAGGCATAAAGGGGGAAGCTACTCGTGCAATACCAGAAATCCGGGGCGCACCAGATAAGGAATGGCTAGAACGACTAGACCTTTTTGCTGCTTTCTACAGCAGATTAAGAGGTGATCTGAAGAGATTGTGTCTACCCCCTAGACTAGAAACTCTTGGAAGCTTGTTGATAGAATATTGATATAGACCACAGACCTTCTGTCCTTAATACACAAATCTGATATCTGAATATATTAGTACGGAAGGAAATTTGTTTCTCGCAGTCTTTGTCGCCAGTGGTAAGGATGGAAGGTACATTGACCTTCATTCATTCTTGCAATTTGTGGCACTGTAATGTCCCTCTGTCACTATGAATTTAATTACGGACTGTGTTGATACTAAGTGTTCTAGTAGAGAGTTCCATTTATTTACTATTCGGTGTGAGCAACAGAACTCCAGACATAGACGGTTTGGTCACGATTTTTGAACTCTCCCAGAATGTCCTCTCAGATGATTAGTCAAAGATCGAAAGAAAGGAAAAGATGTATTAATACTAAGACTATCGTTCTGTATACGTTATCGCAGTGTTAGATCGTAGCCTGCGGCAAGATAATGGAAATGGGCGATAACATCTCAGTTTGTCATCATAGGCCACAGAAACATTTTAACCCCTCATCGTTAAGTTCGTCCTAACATATCCGCCTCAAACTCGAAAAAAGGACTCGCTGGTTTAATCCTATATTCCAAATGCGGTCAAACGAAAGTCGGGTACAATATACTAAATATTTCTTCATTCAAGTAATCATCCTGTACCACTATTCCATCTGAGATACTGTATATGGGTCTCCAAGCCCTTATGTCACCACATAGAGTAGAACGGATGACTTTGCCGAAGATGGTTATTTACTCACATAAAGTAAAACGGAAGAAGACTAAGAACAGTTCATTGGAGAACTCCAGCGCTTAAAGGTTACCATTATGAGAGTGCTCCATTTACACTTACTTGCTATCTCCTATAATTGAGAAAGTCACTTTTCATATAAAACCTGAATAAAAGTCT